AATAATTGTAATCGCCTACTGAGGTGGTATCAAGTATCGTGAACTGTTAAGTAAAAATCGGAGATGATATCCTCGGAATCTCAATGAAGCAATCAAATTTACACATTTTTGTGGTAACGTCACTCAAGCTCGTGTATTAGGGGCAAAATTTGTTTAGTGAATAGAGATGGACTTTTTCGTTCACTGATCACGTTGAGCATCACCACCACAGGTCAAATCAGGAACGCATCAGACTGAACCAATTCCATCTGCAAACTGCAGTTCCCTATTTCGGATTTGTGTACTGACCCGAGAGAAGAATTTACTGAAAACGCGCATGTGTCGTTCTGTCAAACTTGCACAATTCTGTACTAGGCAGCGGAAGGTTCGCAAAAGTGGAGAAAAAACGGTGGGATAGGTCCACCGGAAGTCAATGTATTATCATAAAATGCTTTTTCAAGCAATATAGTAAAAGTCAAAAATCAGAGGGTTAATTAATGCGGATTGATAAAAAGTAAATGCATAGCGAAGAAAAAGGCACTGCATTCCGGTCTTGGTGGTAAAAGACTGGCCAATGTCTGTGTGCAGACAGACATGAGTGATGTGATAAATCACGGTTTGGGGTAGTTCGTCTCCGTGTACAAACACGTGTAGACCGCTTTGATCAGATCATGGAGAATGTAGTCCCGTTTCAGACTTCGGCCGTGAGCATGATTCGTTGTATAGGCCAGAGTGATTTGTCGGTGTGGATCGATAAAAACAACTTGACCCATGATGTCATCCCACATTCCGAACAAAGGAGTTTTCTGAAAATATAAATTTACAAATATGGTGAAAATCTTAGATGACGCGGTTAGAAACATTGTTAGGGAGATAAACACGTGTTTATTTACACCAATCTAAGGTAAGATCCTAAATACAGCTCCGAAGCAAGATTGCATAGCAAGCATGGTTGGAATCAACATAATCGGCCCCAGAAACCTTGTGTAAATAATGGAGTCGCGTGTTGAGATTTCACTTTACAAGGAGAGAGAAATACTGCAGAACATTAAGATTTACTAGGTGGCCTAGTAATAGGTTCTCTTAAATATGGTACGTTAACGTGGTAGCTATCAGTGATGCACAGTTCCTTTTCCAGGCCAACAACCGCATAATGAGAGGCCTATGTACTAACCATTCAATTTACGAATTCGATTCATTGGGCTGAAAATCAGTTTATCAGCCTGGTGAATCGAATTCGTAAGCACAGTAAATGCACACGCTAACCACACAAACCTTATAAGTGTGCCGCCGGATCTATCGGCTGCATCACGACAGAGCATCGATAAGTCAAATAAGGATATCCTCGGATATCGTTTGATTGAATTGTTTCTCTTACTGGTCTACACCCGTAGACACAGCCCCCGGTTGGATAAGAACTCCATCTTACCCACGCCTCACACAATGAGATTAACGATGCTTCAAAACAATAGCCACATACACTTAATAACATGGATGAGCGTCGTAAATGATGAGGTTCGGGCAACCACTAGCTTCAAGTATGTATATATATATATATATATTTCGGCATTGCTATTTTGTTTTTGTAAGCTCTCAATGGTCCAGGAAACAGGTAGCCCAATGATGACTAAGATTAATGCACGATTACCGACTGTACTGAAAAACATCACTGAAGAGAACGCGGGATATAAGAAGGGTTAATACGATGCAAAGATATACGTGGATGTGACACACGGAGACTGTTTTCAGTTTAATGAGCTCCATACTCTAGATCAATCTGGCAAGAATAGAATAAACAAACGTATCAGATGCAAGTCTAAGGTTAAGGTATCGGACAATATTGAATATTACGACTATGACATAAGTGAACGGCAACAAGAGAAAGCCAATTTACAGGAAAAAAAGAGAAGTTTGGAGTAAACTATAAATCTGATGTAGGGATGAGTATGTACCCGACATACAGAGTGAACTTGCTACTTATCTGAACTTTGTTAATAAACAATAAAGTGGCATTAGAGGTACCAAATACGAGAACTTACTTCGGGTGACTCGGTAACCATTAGACCAAAAGTTGTGAACTGCACGTATCTTTGCAGAACCAAATCGAACTCCGGGCGATGACTACCTGAGTCGGGATGTACTTGAAGTAACTGTTTCACTGTGTCCGAGTGAAACAGATGTTGGCTTGAAGTGGACTGATTGGTTCCGGGAACAGTCTTATTTTCTCCCGAGGGCAACAGGACCGTGAATAGACGGGCCAAAGCTCGGGCGTTTGTGAACAGATGCGAGGAGGCCAGAGGCACTTCCAGCAAGTCTGGATTCAGATTCAAACGGAGCTTCATGGGGGAAACGAACATGATTAATGGCGTATTTTTTTAAGACGGACCAATCAGTAACATCAATTTGCAGAATAGGGACGGACACAGGAAACGAATTGCTGGCAGAAATAACCGATCAGTGGTACCTAGTTGAACTTGTTATTTATCGTTTTCTTTTATGATTAAAGTATTTGGTGGGAGGTTAGGTCTGCCAAAAAAGAAACGTAATTGAGATGGCACTTATATATCCAAGTTACGAAAGCATAATCAATTTGACTGAAAAACCATATTGTATACCAGACAGTTTTCGACTATGAAAATCGCAGAGCATGATAAAATATGGCTGAAGAGTAGCATCGGTAACCGCTAAACATGTTGGGTGGGTCGATAGTATGCGACTGATAGGACGTGCAACCAAAGGGCAGATGATATGAAACATAATACGGTGTTTGTTGGTTGTCAGCAGTTCCGGAAAAAATAAGCCACCGGCTCATCTGGAACATCGCGGCTGCCTTGCAGTCCTCCATCTCTCTCGGGTTCTTTAGACAATTGCGCTAACAGTAGCGCCTTAGATGGAAACTCTGTCGCTGTTCTCTTGTGTCCTATTTCGATTACTGTCCAATTCTTACCGAATCCTCCACCAGCTGAAGCCCTTCTTCGCCTTCGATGCCCATTCAAACTAGCCATATTCAATGTGCGCGCTTTGATGTGTATAGGACATCAGGCCTGTTTAGCTCGTACGCTCGAGACCCTAGCTATCCAAGAGACTAACATTCAAGACTCCAACTCCATTATCCGATTGACATCCCCATCAAGCCAATCTGAGAAGTTTCACTCACGCCTATTTGGGGACCCTGAGGCTCCGGCTTCCGGTCTTGCTAGCGTTGGCATGGCTCCCAGCGAGACAGCTGAAGTCGCGCTCCTGGACTGATGCCCAGTCGACAGTACGCTGTCCGCAGCAAGACTTAGAGGTTCGTGCAAAGTAAGCAGCCGTCGCCCCGATAGACGAAACCTGTTCGTCGTGTCGGCGCAAACCCCAACGAACTGCAGCCCAGATGCAGTCAAAGAAGAATTGCACAAAAGCTACATGATTTTAGCAGGAGATATGCAGGCCATGGCCGGCGGAGGTGTCTGATAGTAACCCCCTTGTATTTTTTGTGTATTTGGACATTGCCACGAGATAATAATTACTGTATTATGTTTGCAAGTAATCTTACTGATCCCTAAGATGCATTTCTCCACGTTATGCCTCTCGTGTATGACGGTTAATTTGAGACATATTTGTTTTAATCTGTGACTTTGAAATTGATATTTTATTTCGTGATGGAAGAGCCAGTAACCCATGCTGCCGTTATGGCCGATGTCACTAAGAAGTGATAGTGGTGAACAGATCGGTGGAAACTCTTCTTCCAATCATACAGCGTTTAGTCGCACCTGAGACTACCATTCATAAAGACCAGCAAACGGCTTATCGATCGCTGACTTCGTTGGGGTACATCCACATATGTGTGAATCATTCTGACGGATTCGTACATCCAACGAGTGGCGTTTGGAGTAGGATCAAGCGGCGATTGAAGAACGTGTACTGATCTGTCGGGGACATGATGTGAGACCAATTCGATGAGGTTCAACATACAATGTGATTCGATTTCTCTCATGAAACCTTTCCCGCGGCTATGGACATATTTTTGGGCTACATTAGGCAACTATATCCCCGTTGAACGATGTGATATTATTGATGCTTATAACAATTTAATGCTATACTGTAATAATAATATAATATAAGGATATTTAGAAGAGCCTTATGATTTTGAGATTTCATGTTCCTTATGAGAGGTTAGATTACCAACTTGTGACCCGGAGCCCTGAGTTCGAGCCGCTCCACCGCCGCCCGTCTTCTTTATTTCTGTAATTTCCCAGGGAGCCTTTGCATGGCCGCGGCCCCCCTTCCTGAAAAGTGACTGTAAATTTGTATATTCAATAAATTAAAGAGGGAAGTAAAAAGACATTTAATATTATTATTATTATTGTTGTATGCACGCGAAAGATCGGACACCGCCGGTAGGCCGACTGACTTTGAGCG